GGCGCCCAGGACCCTTCGGCAGCCACCAGGCAAGGGCAGGGAGGGCTCCCGGGGTCCTGTGCCTTACCGTGTGCACCCTCCGGGGCTGGCGTTGGCACCAGGTTCTCCTGCTCTGTCCCCACAAAGCCCCTCCAGAAGTCAGGTGGCAGCGAGAGGAGCCGAGCCACCACCTGGGCAGGGAGGGATGGAGACTGGGCATGCTGGCAGAGCCTGGGGCACACCCTGCACCTCGCAGACCCCCTCACCTTGCACTGCCGCGGCGTGTCCTCCATGATGGCCAGCGGCGTGGGGTTGGCCGAGCCGTGTCCCACCAGCGTGGGACCGAACACGCGGGACAGGTTGAGCACATCCATCTTGCAGTCGGGGCTGCGTGACACCCTGCGAGGCGGGGATGGACGGTGTGAGCACACCGCCTGGCCACGGGGCCCCTCGTCCTCAGCCCAGCTTCCCCAGTGTGGGGCGCAGAGCCTGGGCGAGGGGCAGAGCACCAGGAGATGGGGGCAGACCCACGGGAGCCCCTCACCTCAGCAGGTGCAGCATGAGGAAGGCCAGCGTGTCCCTGTTGGCTGGGGGCAGCTTGCTCACGACGTGGCGCAGGGCTGTGCCGCAGGCGGCATCATCCGGGATGTCTGTGACAGCACCAGGGAGCTGTGTTAGGGGAGGAGCAGCCCCTTCCCGCCCCACCCCAGGACAAATGTATCTTAGGTGGTCTGTGTCAGGCGCCTCTGGCAGCCCTGCTTTGAAGAAAGTCCTTGAGCACCCCACACACCACATGGATGTCAGCCACGCTGCCGAGGGCGGGCAGCGCACCTCCAGCCCGCAGCAGCCTCCGCTTCCATTCCCGCACCAGCTGCTCTGCACCCGGCACCCGGTACAGCCCTGTCTGGGGTGCAGGGAGAGGGGGGCTCAGCCCCGCGGGGACCCTGGCATCGCCACCCCCACCACCCCGGCCCCTACCTCCGTCAAGCCTCGCGTCTCCACCACGTTCACACACTGCACCACCAGCGCGGGCACCAGGGGCGGCGTGGGGGGGGCGAAGTCAGCCA